AATATAAAATATATTTTATATTTTTAAAATATTAAACAACAAAAAATCTATAATTGTAGTTATTGGTTAATATTATAAACTAAACTTTAATCTCAACTTGCATGGAGAGAGGGCCCAGAATTCTTTAAGGGTTTGAACAAGTCAATGTATACGGTTGCCTAGTGCTCTTTATAACCCAGATTTGACCTTCCAATTTCATCCAACTAGAAACTCCACCATCTGCTGTCCTATGTTGAGTTATATCATATTGCTAATTAAGTGCTTGACGAAATGGCCTTAACCAAGTCCTCAAAACTCATGTTCACGGTGGTTTTCGTGGCGGTCGTGTTCCTCCTATCTTCTCAGCTAGCTTTTGCTGCTCCTCATGATTTCATTCCCAAGCCTATGTTAGGTATATACAAGAGACTCACGTAGTTGCTTTTCTCATTATTAATTAAGCTGATAAGATATGATTAATTTAATTTTGTCCGATATTTATATGATTTTTATGCTTTTTTTGCAGGACGGAAACTTCTTCAATATCCTCCTTATAACGGCGGAGGTTATGGATTCCCTCCTACACCTCCTTATCCGCAACAACCATAGGTAGAAGAAACGAAAGTCCCCAGTTGAAATGGAGTGCCCTATGAGTTTATATATATAGTCTCTGCTTAATTAATTTCTTTAAGTTTGTAAGAGGAAGATATAGAATAAGATGAGGGGTAGGACCAAATATTAGTATGAATTGGCATGTGATTTCATTAGTTATGACTTAATTACCATGTAATATCGTTGGTGTCAAACCAACTTCTGCTTTCTGTGTTTCCTGTTTTCCATTGTAATATTTCATAAATAAATTGAATAATCAATCTATTATATATTAGATAGACTTATAGAAAAGTTATTTTCTTTCAAGGACCATTAAAGAAATAAAAATATATTATAAATGTGTTAAGAACTTGAATCTGAATATGAGTTGAAATATGTGATGTGCCTATCAAGTGTTATTTGAATACCACTCCAACATATCTTTATTCAATGACATTTCATAAAAAAATAAATACTTCATTATAGTCTAAGGTAGTGATATAAATGTAATTTTATATATAATTTTTATATATTATTAAATAAATAAATAAATTTAATTTTATAAATTTTAAATAAAAAATTAATTATGTAACTAAAATATAAGAATATATAAAAAAATATAAAAAATTTTCTTTAAATTATTTTTTAATAAATTAAAGACATGTCACTTGGGAACATAATAAACGGACAATTTTGCCGGCCGAAGTTATTTTCTTTTTCCTCCATTCCCCTCTCATCTTTATCTTTCTCTTTCTCTTTCTTTCTAGAACTGCCATATCTTAGAATTTTTGCTGCAATTCGGGATAAAAATTGTGTACTTGCAGAAGCTTTTCATGTGATCGACTTGATTTTCCTTGAATTTTTAGGCCATAGAAGACTGGTGGGTGTCTAGATCTGACTTCTGCTCTCACCGGAAAACTATCATTGAATTTTGCACTTCAAGGGTCTTTGATTTCGTCTTCTTTTTAGTACCATGTTAGAAGCAATGTTCCCTTTCCCGTCTTCAGCTAAGCTCTAACCCCTGTTGCAGCATTTAAAGAAGAGATAATTTTTTGCTTCTAAAATAAACAATGCAGGGGTGAATTAATTCCTTTGTTTGAATTTATCTAACTTATTAAAAATGTAATTAATATATTTTTTATTATTAATTAATATAAAAAATTAATATTAATTTTATTATTAATATTTCATATATTGTTTTAATTGAATAATTAATCAAATAAATATTAAAATTTATTTTTAAACGAC